GGATGTATCTTTACAAGATGCACTTTGTTTCACCTTCCATAATTGTTGAGCTTTCTCATAAGTAAAACACATCTGTGTCTTTTAAAAAATGTAGCCCTAAAGCTTGGCATAACAGGATAAAGAGTTAAAGGTGAATTGCGGAGTGAAGAGACTCATTTATTATAATCTACATAAATCTCCTTATAAAACTTAGGAGGTTAATCACATTAATCTGTATCAAAATGCCTCCCCATTATTGTTGCAAGGAATGAAATTTTGGAAAATGTTTTAATCAAAAAAAGATTTTGTGAGAAACTTTGCTGTTCTCAGATTTTGGCATTTCAAATAATTTATAAAATCAATTCTCATATTTTACTTTTTAAAATTAATCTTTTTTGTAAATTGTATAACTTTGATTTTTTTTTCTTCTGTTGTTCATATTGAGTTATATGAATTTCATACTTTTCAAATTACATTTCACAGGTAACCTTCTCTCTACAGCGCAGTAGTCGCTCTTGACGCGCATATTAACCAGCACAATGTTGTTACTAAAGTTTAGACCAGTAGAAATTCATCTTTTCTTCTCAACCCAAAAGAAAAGCCTGCCCCAAATTTAAAGGGAATATGATCAGGAAAACACTATTTTAAAAAATTATGACATTCACAAAAAAAAAACATAAATTCTGTAAAATAAATGTTTTAGAAAATAACCAATTCAATTTGAAAAAACTAATACAGAAAGAAAAGACATAGAAGAATTGTATTGACAAACTAATTACTTTAGTCTTTGACAATCAGACAACATTAGCACTGAATTTTGCTTTGGTCCACATGAACAGGAGAACAGAACAGGGATGTTTCCCCCCAGGCCTGAAACTGGTGATGGAGTGGAGATAGATGAAGTGGGTCATTGCATGACTGCTGTTTGGAGAGATCCAGAGCTTCACCAGGGGCCCTGAAGATGGAGACCCAGCTTGGATAAAACAGGTTGAGGGAACCTGTCCATGATGAGCAAGCATGAAGCGACAGTGGAGAGGAAAAACATCCCATTAAGAAGAAACCTCTGGCAGAACAAGGCTCAACATGGCAGTCTTCTGTCAGACCGGTTTAGATTGGACAGGTAACAAAGTAAGAGTCGGAGAGGAATGACACACCAATGAAGCTTTAGTTACAATGGTGGAGAAGGGGGTGGAGGTGGATTGAATCAGGGTCGTCTGAGTCAAAGTATGATATAGAGCAACCACTGGCCGCGCTTGGGTGGTAGACTGAGATGTGGATTTGGAGACCCTTTTAGGATGAACTCTGTATTCTGACTGGCTTTAGTGGGGGTGTGGTTCAAAGCTGATTGGCCTGTGTTGGAGGCGGGTAATTCAATTGAACATCCGCCTAGGCTCCATTTTGAAAAAAATACGACATGATTATCATTTCATGATTACATTTTCTTTATTATTTTCTTTTCTAATTTCCATAGCCAAATGTGTTATTTGTTTGCAATTAAAATGAAAAGAAATTCACTCCATGGCCTAATTCCTAATCAATTCCTTGTGTTCCTATAATGTTGTTTTAGGGAAGGTTGTATAAACAGGGGGCCTGGAGATTCATTCCACTCACACCTTCCTCACTCTCGCTCTGTCTGCAGCTACATTGAACAGAGAATAGACACTGCATCTAACAGACACAACACTCTCAGGACAGGCTCTCCCTCCTCTCATTTCTTCTCCCCTGGCTCTTCTTTCCAAATGGATTTTTCGTGCAGGGTTATCATTATCATTAATTTAGAAGACAGGTTTGCTTAAGAGCAATCAAGGACACATTTGTAACAGTTGCTGTCAGCGGCTGGAGGAGAGGGGTCAGGCAGCGTTCCCACGCTACCGGGTCCACTGACAATTCAGTTCACACATGCGTCTATTTATCTCATGAACTCACATCATCCATTTATTTAGAATTTCAAATTACGTCATCGGAAAATGCTCTTATTTTACAGAAAAAATGGAAATAATGAAAGTTAATGTGGCAAACATGGAGTTGTCCCTTTAAAAAAAAAAAAAAAAAAAACATTCGGTTTTAGAGCGAGATGAAATCCCTTTAGGCTAGAGTAGCTTTCATGTAGACCTTCAGGCTTCTGGTTGGACAGCAAAGGTCTTGTTTATTGCAAAAAAATATCCATAGGCTTTAAACTTTGCCACATTATGTTGCATCCCAATGCAGAATTCTGGGTATTCTACCTATTTGATAACAGAACTACCTTAGCTTCAGTTGAAGGTATTTTTGAGTGTTTCTGCTCTAGATTTGTATGTCTTACATACTGAAGCTTTCTCTGTTTCTTAAAAATATATTTTCCTGGTTGAAAGTGGACCATTTGTAGCTTCCAACAGGATTCCTTTAATGTTTTTCCTGTATTTACAGTAGCTCTATTTACCTTCCCATCATGTCCCATGTCCCTGCCGAAGAAATTCTTCCTACAGCTTGATGCTGTAGCCACCATGTCTTGCAGGCTGGTTTTGTTTAGTACAGTGTTCAGTGGTTCCACTGAACAGATTGCTTTATAGACTGGGCAAAAATGTCAATTTTGGTCTCATTTGATCAGAGGACATTGTTTTACATGCTTGCTGTGTCCTCTTCATGGCGTTTTATGCTCAAGGTTTGTCTTACTGCTTTCTTTCTTTCTTTTCATTCCTCAGCAAATCTCCAGTTACTTTGGATCTCTTGGCTCACCCTGTTTTCAATTCCACATGTGTTGTTGTAGAGCTGTCACAAAAGCTGCGATGGATGGTAAAGAACCAACAAATGTTAAACAAAAATGAGGTATCTTGGTGGTTTAAAGTTAATTTTTTATGAAATTAAGAAAATAAAGATTCACAACAGAATGATACTTAAAGAGCTAGTGATACATTTATTTAGATACTTTTTAAATCAGTGAAGCTTAAGAGCTGATTCAATCTGGAAGACTCTTATCAGCTTCACCTGGACCACCTGCAATTTCCCTTGTTCAGCTCCAGCCAATCAACTCGGGGTCACACCTTCTCCAAAGCCAATCATCTTTCATGATCACCTTCATTTATCTCCTGGCCCAGTTCTTTCTCCTGTACGCAAGCAAACTTTTACCCACCTCCACCCCATCTCCTCCCACATTTGCAGTCCTACTCACCCTCTGGCTGTTAGGATTTCAGTTTGTGTGGGTTGTTTTTGCGTATTCTTTTTCCACCACTAGATGGTGCCCTGTCCTCGTTTGGGCCTCCTCGCACACCTGCGGCTCATTGGGTCATCACCAGAGGAGTATTTGAGCAGCGGGCTGTCACTACCTTGACCCCAGAGTGTTTTCCAGTATTGGGTACTCTAGCCAAACTGAGATTAGCTGAGTCTAACCTTTAGCCTTGTCTTTCTGAGTCTAAGCTTGCTTTGTCTTTGAAGGCAGGAAGCCTTCCTGATACCCTGGATAAGCCTGGACCTTCTACCCCTCTGGAAGGATAAACTGAGTCACAATTGAGCAAGGGGAAACCTTCACATGATCTGTTCAAGTCCTCTTCAGGAAAACCCCGTGACAGTCTGCTCCATTGCTCCTCTGGATCCTACGTTATTCTGCCTGTCCGCCATCCAACAAGTTCTTTAATCTCTGGATAAGCCCCCTCAAACTGGATCCAAAGATTAACCAAGAGTTCCCCAAATGTGAGTGCCTCTCCTGCAAATCACAAGCCTCAGTCATTTTTCCTACAGTCCCTGAACTGATCATTGTGATCTCCCCTTCAGAGTTTGCGGTTCCAGTTCACTTGTCCGCTGAGGTCCAACAGTGTTTCCCAGCTGTATATCTCCCAGTCTGTGTTTTTGTAAACCACAATAAACCTGTTAACATTTTACCTTGGCTTCTGAGTGTGTTTCTGCATGTGGGTCAGATCCTTAAAGCCCATCATGGCACTGGCTTATTTAACCACCATCACAAGGGAAGACTAATCTAATTATTTTCTAGGTTACTCATCCAAGTGTACGTTTGTTCCAGGGCCCGAGCGCCGAAGAACTTATTTCATTTATGTCTTTACCTGCTTCTAACTCCTTGAACTCAGAGTCGGCCTCGGTAGATGGCCGCTCACACTGGGCCTGGTTCTGCTGGAGGTTTCTTCCTGTTAAAAGGGAGTTTTCCTCTCCACTGTCGCTATTTGCATGCTCATTGCAAGAGATTGCAGAGTCAATAAGTCGCTCGCAATCAGAAGAATTTCTTTAGATAGCAATATTTTGAAGCTTTTCTGTGTGAGTCTCTTCAGGTTGAATAAGTTTCGATACTGTATGCTTTTTTACATCACTGTCCTCACATATTAATATCTCATAGAAGGAAATGTCTCTATCCTTAAAAAAAAAACTTAAAATAAAAATACATTTATAATTCTTTACAAAAGGGAATACATTTACTCTAGTCAATATTTATCAAAAGTAATAAGTTGTCTGTTTTTCCAAGTTCATGCAACATTTCTGGCAAGTGAGATTCTTAATAAGTGGATTGAATATAAAAAAAAAAACCTCTTTGAACTGTAAATGTCAATAAAAAACTAATCCTTCTCCATAACTCCCTCCCTGACCTACGTACTGCGTTCCTCGGTTTTCATGGTGCTGTTAAGTTAGATTACAGGCTGGAGGAATCTGTATATTGATGATGATGATGATTTGTCAAGGCTGGAACTCATTTAGTACTGAATGGATAGAAATGATGCCACATTTTTACAATTTTATGTCCTTGAACAATATTTTAACAAAAGTCTGATATTTTATAAACATTTGTCACTGGAAATTAGTTTTTTGTGTGAAATTATCTATTTGTGTGTTTAAAAGGAGACAAAAAGGAGCATCCCATTTAAAGTTCCAGTGCATCTGAGGATAAATAAAAGCTTGTGTCAGTATTTAAAAAAAAAAACATTAAATATGTTGTTATGCAGCTGCCTCATTTTCTTCCTCTCTCTCTCTCTCGCTGACAGATATCTATTAAAAGCTGGTGCTGACGTCAAAAGTGTCCGCCATCTTTGACAAGAGCTGCACTGCAACCCCATCCTCCCACCCACCCCCCTCCACCATTGAAGAAGAAGTGAGGAGGAAGCAGAAGGACGCGCAGTGCCTTTGCAGCATCCCAGTCACATTCAGAGAGAGAGAGAGAGAGAGAGGCTGTAACCGCTCAGCTGCTGGTAGAGACAGACGCTTCCTCCAGTACTGACTGCAGGGCACTGACAGCAGGCGCAGGTAAGATCCCAGCTCTTTTATCCATGCTTGATGGTGTACTCATTAAACAATGTGATGCGGCGGCAGAGGTTTGACAAAATCAAGCAGGTGATGTCCTTCTTGTCCTCTCTGTAATAAATGAAGCTAATGAGGAGGTAAATGGCATTAGCTAATCTGGGACACGAAGATGTTGATGTTTGCTGTTATTAACGGGAAGGAAGAAGGGAGATCAAAGCGCGGTGAGAGGGATGGGAGGCAATGCGTGACGTCCTGGGTGATCAATCTGAAACACGCAGCGGATCGCTGGGAGGATGGCTGCGCTGCGCTATAATGCGCATGTTGGATGTGGGCGATTTCAGCACCGCGGACAGCGCCAGGCGCAGGGCGCGCTTCCAGCAGGTGGAAAAATGGTTAAAAAGATAGAGAGGGTGGGGTGTGTGTGTGTCCAAACCCCGCATTATATGATGCGGGGGAGGGGTTCGGTTGCTTTTCTGTTTTTTTGTTTGTTTGTTTTTTCACATTTCAGTCCCTCATCCCATCCTGTGATGTCGCAGCAAAATGAGGAGGCATGAATCAGTCTGTGACAGCCTGACTGAGCCTCACACACCGAGGCAGGGGGACTGCGGTGGAGCTATCAGGGAGGGGCGGGGGGCACGATCGCGCTGTAAGAATGCGTCGCTTGTTTTTACTGCTTTCACGCAAAGTGCGCGGCATCTTTTAGCGTGGCTCTGGCATTAAGGGAGCGCAAAATAGATCCTGGTGCTGAGTGCAAGAGTGGTGGGCGGGGGGTGAGGGGTTCCCTCCAGGGAGAACCGCGGTGAAACCCGCACTATGACACCCCCGCCTGGTTCCTCCTCTTCTCTTCACCTGAGGGTCCGATCCATTAATCCACCAATCCATGCGTGGAAAACAAGTGGCGCTAAATAGCCGCACCACTTTTACCCACATCTCCCTCCAGACATCCGGTAAAACATGTTTTTAAGAGAAATATTCTGGAAGAGCAACATTCCACAGTTTTAATCTATAAATTAATATTTAGATCCAGTTCTGGTTAACATCTTGCTTCTCTGTGTTGGTATGACTGCTGTTAGATGTAGGAACGCAGACTTGTTGGCCGGTTGCCTTTAAATGCGATGATGCAGCAGATTGCATCTCTGGCGCAGCTGGAATTGCTTCACGCGCTCACATGGAGTAGAGGCAGCTGGCTCATGTTCTCCAGTGGAAGCTGTCACTTCTAGTTAGGATGGATGTTTAGCTCATTAGTGGGAGTCTTACAGCCTAACAACAAAATCAAATAAGATTTCACTTTATAAGGAAATAGGTTAATCCATACCATGATGAATAAAATACCGCCCCCCACCCAATAATCACCACTATATCACATTCTGCAGTTTTCACAGTTTGGGCTGCAGAGAGGGGAGCCACAGTAACAGGGAGGGGGTGGAGGTGATGGAGGTGTAAGCTGGAGGGGAGGGTCACACAGATGCTGAAAGCATTATGAGGGGCTGCTCTGTGTGGGTGAACGGTGACTCACCCGAGGGTGGTTTCTCAGAAACATCCAGGTCATCCTTAAATTTCACGCCATCACTTTTACAGTGGATGGATAAAGCAGTGAGGACGTTTCAGGGAGTGAGGCTGCTGAGAAAAGGCTATTGAGTGTTTGGGTTCAACCTTTATTTGAATTAGTCAACCTTGATTGATAAAAGTTGCTGTGCCTTGTATCGTCTTCAAAACCTTAAATCAGTATGACAGAATTACACCAAATACGAAAAGTGGAAGGAAAATAATACCTGGTTTACCCTGATACCTCTACACAGAAACCAGTTGAAACATCTGTCTTCAGAGGTCAACCTATGAGGGATTTAATCTCAGTATAAATGTAACTGCTCTGTTATGGCCTCAGAGGTTTGTTAGTGTACGAAACAAACGGCTTTGTGGGGAGCAAAAACATGGCGGGATAGAGAGAAAGATGAGGAGGAGTATTAAGTAGAGTTAATTTATCATTACTTTGCTGTCCACGTAAAATACACAGGAGGCTAATGGGAACTGTGGAGGAGCTGCAGAGATAGTTATAAGCTTTAGACGTTTGGACTTGTAGGAGTGGAAACGTAGGAGAGACAGCAACCATGTTAAATTACAGTAGATGGTTAAAGGAGACCAGAATTAATGAAACATTCTGGTTTACATGTACGGCGCTAAAGGTGTTGGGAAACTAAATACAACATCCTGGCAGTGAAACATGGTGGGGGCAGCATCATGCTATGAGGAGGCTATTTCTTTAGCAGGTAGACCAACCATGTTAAGGGTTTATGAAAATGAGAATGAAGCAACAGTAAATTTAAGTTAAAGGCTGAAAATAACACTGGACTTAGCTTGAGCTATTTCACAAAGAAATATGAAGATTTTGCCGATTAGATATACAAAGTTTTTAGAGACAACCCGAAATACTTCCAGCTATAATTACAGCCAAAGGTTGTTCAGCAAAGCATTGATTTAAAGGGCCTGAATACAAAAACATGACACAAATTTCCCCCCCTTTTTTTTGTAAAACATTTTCAACTCCATCTATTATTTTTTTACGAGTTGGTCTATTATGTCTAGGCCTATCATATTAAATCACTATAAAGTTTGTAAATGTAAAATGAGCAAAATATAGAAAATTTGGGCTGTTAAAAACACATTTTAAGGCTCTACATCTGCCCATCAGCTGATCTAAAATCTGGCACCAATTTAACAATCCAGTTGCTTATCTAAAGCTGCTATTTCATCATGGTCATTAATGTGTTTATTAGAATATGTAATTAGCATTATGAAGATACAGGCTATTTTATATTCAGGGTGTTGATTATGGTTTCCTTTTCATAAAAAATTCTAACCCAGTTGAGCTTCTCAGGTCAAGCTCCAGCCGGAGGTGATTAATGACTGTACCTGTCTGAGCTCCCTACATTAAGCGTCTGCTATTTTCTGCTAAAGGGCTTTTTTAGGTCCACTCAAGTACAGATCTGAACCACAAGCTTTCGTCAGCAGTTTCCAATAGCATCAGACCACAGTTTAAGAGTTGTCTTGTAATAAAAACTACCCTGTTAGACCCTGTTGAGCTTATCGTGCCTCTGATGTATTGCGTTGTCCAAGTGTGCTGAAGGTTAATTTTTTTTCTTTCATTTTCTCATCTTTAAGAATCTGGGGAGCTATGAAGGCCGTGTTCAGGGATTTTATGATGTAGCTTTTTGCTCTATAAAGGTTAAAGTCTTTTATTCTCCTAAAATCAGTCAATGATCTGAAAACAGGTTTGATTATCATGACATATGCAAACACTAAGTATATAAAATAAAATATATGAAGAGAGATGGACAATAGACATAACATATAGACCTGCAGTATAGAAAATACAAGTGTTGTGGTTCTAAGGTATGAAAACAAAAAAAAAATGCTATAAGAAAAACATCTTTAATTGAAAACAGAAAAGCTACTGTATGACTGTACATAGTCCTCAATCAATAACAGATTGATCATTTAGCTTAGAAGACTCTTTATGGCATTTATTATTTCGATTTTGATGAGCAGACATTAATCATTAGTAGGAAAACATGAAGAATTATGGCTAAATGTTAAAGCGGCTTTAAGGTAACTGTACGTATTGAGTGGGAAGACTTGAGAGCTGTATAAGGGCAAGGCAGAGGCCGGATATGTCATGTCGTTTAAAGTGGTAATAATTGTTTCTTTTTTCCTAATTCTTATTTGTGTTCATGATTTTAAATCTCTAAGGGTTCACCCTCTAGATCAAGGGTGTCAAACTTATTTTATGTAACGTCACTTCAGCATAATCAAGTCTTTAAAAGGGTCAATTGCAGCTGTAGGAATGAACATTTTGTTTTCATTACTTCAGTTATGAAGAGCAGATTGATGTATTATCATAACTTTACTCCAAATTTTCTTTAGCAGTTTTAGCTTTTTCCAGTCTTTAAAAAACATATGCCTCCTTTTTACATGATATGCATTTTCTGGATGTTAGTGGTCAGATAAATGGTGATGAGCTGGATCTTGCATACAAATGCTCTGGATCAGTGGGTCTCGCACATTCCAGCCTGGGACCCCAGAAATAATGCAACAGACTGCCAACCCCCCCGAAATTACATTTAAATTCTTTGCTCTATATTGATTCATAAATGTCAATGAAATCAAATAAATATTTAATTTTGGAATACATTTTTTTTTTTTTTACATTTAGTTATTATACGTCTTCTTTTAAATGTATTTCCAGTTATTTAATGGGGCATTAAATATTTAATTGGGCATTTTACAATTTAAATATATATTTGAATTGCATATTAGATCAATAAATAAATATAAAATCTCATGTCATTTATTTATCACATGGAATATTCACATGAATGTATTTCATTAAATATTGTAGCCCTCCACCATGCCTTAAAAATCGCATCTCAATTATTCTAAAACCAGTTTCCTGACCCCCTATATGTTGTCTTATCTGACTGTTTTGGGGACCATTTAAGGAGCCCCTGCTCTAGAGCCTGACAAACACAAATATTAACTAAAACCTAAAACCTCCTCACATAGGTTTCTTCTTAATATCTTCTATTCTCTTTTGGTTTTTGCTGTTGTTGTTGTAGGATGACTCTGTCTTATTATAATAGGTTTTAACAGTGAACTATATAGTAATCTCTACCTCTAAACATAAACTATCAAATGAAACTACCAGCTTTAATGTGTTTCTTTTGAATTCAGACATCAGAATCTCTGATGTCAGTATGTTGAAAGGAGAGGTGATTCTCATTTTTTCTAACCGTAACATTCAATATGGCTAATTTGATTATAAGAGTAATCTGTATAATGTATAAATCTACAGTCTAACTGACATTTCTGAGCGTGTTACTAGAGTGAATGCAACAGAGAGTACAGTGGTTGCCAAAGTGTTGTTATTACAAGGGAACTGAGTAAGAGCCTAGTTTTGTAATCTTACTGTTATTTTTTAACTCCTAAATTTTGATCAGTTTCATTTG